CGCCGTCGTCTTCTGGTGGAACCGACCTTCCAATCTCTTCACCCAACACTTTCCCTCGAAATGGAAGTAAACTCAACAATTATAAAAACAAGAGATTCCTCGAAACCCAACTTTTCTACTCTTCAGATATCTTTTTTTTTCTTTTATGCTATCTCAAGTTAACTTTTTGACTTTTAGGCCAGTATTTCGATATTTTCCTGCATATTTGGTTAATAATAAATAATTTTCGTTGATACAAAACAACAGGCAACCACCTCAAACATCAACACCAATGGCCCTAAATGGCACTTGTTTGCAGATATCTGCCTTGAGTGTGGTTCCAATACCAGCGCCTCGACACAGATGCTTACCTTCTCCAACAATAGCCGGTCAACAGATTAAAGCCAACTTGACCGAGAGTAACTTGGATCCACCTTCAGGTGGCTTAGCATCAACCGGTCCATCGATTACGATGACACTCCCACTTGGTGAAACTTCAAATCCATCATCGGCTGCAGCAGATGCAACCTACACTAAATCTCAGCTTTTAATGCCAAAATCAGTAAGGATACCGGACCATCCGGAATCCTCTATTAGTCAGGAAGTAAAAAGCAAATTATTACGTGGCCACTGGCCTGCTTCAAGCTCATCACTAGAGCCTTCAGAAAAGCGGCGCTGGAATCTCGGCCAAGCTGTTAACCAAAGCCCTGACCGGCTAGCCATCATGCGTCCGTTGGCGCAACCCGATTGGCCTGTGGATGACGCTCCAAAGAACCCTAGACCGGAAAAAATACCGCATCTCGGCAACGAGGGTTCAGACGAAGACGACATCAGCAAGTCAGGTGAGTTTGAGCTAACTTCTTTGAGAGTGAAACTTGTGACCAGAACAAATATGTTCTGGAATGTTATTGGAATCGTTTTTGTCACAATTTATGCTGGTCTTCAGGATGGGTTAGTGTTGCTTCCACAAATGTTAATAAGCTGAGGCCAGACAACGAAGCAGAAGATATAAGAACAGAGGGAACAGGCTACACGGATTTACAGATTAAACGAACGGTAATTCAGAAGATGTTCGGTTGGAATAGGTTTTTAAACCACAAGTGCTATCGTCACTTTAGACTGAATAAGGTGATAAAAGACAGATATTTGAATTTTCCTACATTCTGCGAGGAGGTCTCACAATTCCACTAAAACTCACTTAGCCTTTCCTATCAAGAGGTATCCTCATCCGGGCTGGGTCGGAGTGCAGTCTTTACCTCGCTTAGGACTCATCAGTAATCCCAGCGATAATCGATCCCAGGTAGACTAGCATACAAATTCTGAATGTCGCCACTACGCCTACTCGTCGGATTATGGGAAAATTCAGCTATCAATCCTTCATTACCATATGCGACCCAGGTTGTATGAGCAGGGGAGTTCAGGTGTTACAAAAAGTTTTGGAAAGCTCGTAGCATAGGATGGAAACTAAAATTCAAGATGTGATGAGTAGCGTCGCAACATCGATAGGGTGTATTAATTAATTTCTGCTCAAAAGCGCAATGCAAATACGTGTAGCTGCTTCGTGGTCGATTCGCTGCTTCGGAGCAAATAGAATCCCATTTTTCGAAGCTAACAGATCTTCCGGTTCTTCTGGTTCTTTTGCTTTTGAGGGGCCTTTATAAAATGTTTCATGTGTAGTATTATTCAAGAAGCCTACAGCTAAAGCTTGTTTGCCAATTACGTGTTGACTTTCATTTCGTGTGAAAGGGACTGTTGAAGAGGTTTTTAAATCAGTTTTACCTGGAGACGACTAATGTTTTCCATTTTTTAGCAACCGTTTAATTTGATTATGATGTTCAGATTGATGCATTCTACTGGGCATACTCCCTCGTTTTGGGTAAAAAAAAGGGTTAAGCTCTCGTCTAGCATATAATACGCGACACCATCAGAGCCGGATCTCATTTTTACAAAATTTTAAGCCAACACTAAGTCATCAAGATTAATCGGCTCTCCCTTTTATTTCTTTATATACTCGCAACAAAAATGAACTCTAACTTAAGATACATACTGAATTATTTTTCAAATTCATTTTCATTATATTCCAAGTTCTGTAATAGTGTTGTTTTGACCTCGTTTTCTTAACTAGACTTGAGGATAATTGAGAACTTATGGAGTTTCCTAGCTTCGCACCCTCAGCAAAAGTATAAGCGTTTAGTCATCTTAGGTGGCTTGAATTGATTTAAAGACTGATAGTTTATATTTTCACGATCCAATAAGTAGGCCTCTTGATATCATTAAATTTAACTTAGCCTTGCCTTCTAAAATACCATTTAATCTAGGCTAAAGTGAAATTTCTACTTACCCCTAACGACATTAGCAGGGTTAAACCACCTTGAGGGAATACATTCTCATTCAAGGTTTATCAATGAATATAATATGGTAAAAGGCCTGTCCTTTACTGAAATTCACATCTGCTCTGTGACCCAAGGGCACTTGTGGCAATATGGCCGAATGATTAACGTGTCAAGCTCACATTCAGCACTGTCAAGGTTCGACTCCCGCTGGGGGTGTTGATAAGACCGATGCGGGGTCTAAACGGCAGTTCATCCGGAATGAGAACAACTCTTGGGAAAGCAAGGTTGTGTGAAATTCAATGGGAACCTCAGCTCTACTCATATCCTTGTTGGAAAATTCTGCTACCAGTCCTTCATCACCTTAAACGAAATAGGGTGAATATATCTCTGATGACTCAGAATGTTGATGGGGGCCTAGTTACATCTTGCTCGTATGCCTCAGAACTCAGTCTCTCATAAAAAGCTTATTATTTAGCCAATAACTTCATTACGTTAAGGAGATATTCTTTGTGTTATCCAATTAATCTTTTTCCCAATTCTTTTTAACTCTGATCCATTCACTTGCACATAACTTTTCCTTTTTACGGATCCTACTCACTTACAGCAGAGGATCGTTTCAGCAATTCGGCCATGGAGAACTATTCACTTGCTGAGGCTATAAAGATCAACCCACAACTCTCAAATGCTATCCACCGGCTTCATCATTTTCTGCAAAATCGTCCGCCCGTGACGCCAGCCTCATCTCCATGCCCTAAGCCGGCATCAGTTCCTCCACCTACGCCTCCACGTTACACTCATCCTCAGTGGACTGAACATCCTCGATATGATGACAGGACGGTTAGACGCATCGGAAGTGCAAGCCTTGCCCCCAATGGCGAAGCTTATATAACCGGACTTGGGTCAAAAGAGCATGAACAGGAGATACAAGAAATGGAAGGGTTTAGGATAAACACAGAATTGCCCACCGTGCCAAAAAGGGTCTTATCTCAAGCAAATCAGCTTCCGTCTGCTGAGACCAGTGACCTCTTGTATTTCGCAGACAAACAAATCGACAAGCTGGCCAACTTCACATTGTCTGCGGAACCGGTCAGGTGCCAACTAAATGGCGCAGCTATCACATTAGCTGGAGATCCTAAAATAGGTACACAATCATTTAAAGGGATAGATGTTTTTGCAAAATTTTTTATACTCTCCCAGACAAGTGGGAAATTCGTAAGTTTTGACATTTATACACAAAATTCGTATGAATGTTTATTTGTTCAAATATTTTTTGGTGTGTGTACATCATTTGCATCCTTCGTTCTATAAATATAACCTAAAATAATTCTTTAACTCCGATTATTAACATTCTAAGCTGGCGATTCAGCGAAGCACAAATCCAAGATTGCCCTCAAAATGAGACATTCTCTTATTCTTCAGAGAAAGACTGATAGCACAGAATTCGGCTTTCTTTTGTGTCAATTTGCATGCAGTTGCCTTCAAAGTAATTCTTGGTAATTAATTCGTTTGGACTAGAGTAACGTCGTGGATGTAACCCATTGAGTCTGAGCTCTTCCATCAACTATTTTATTCAAGCTCAGAATATGGATGAGGTCAATTTGCAATACGGCTTAGACAACAAAGTTTATTCTTTATGAAAAGTTGCTTTTTCTTGATCGAACTGCGCGACATCCTTATTTTACCTTTATATTAATATTTAGTAGTTTCAATATGATCATTTTATCTTGAATAATAACTGTATTTAACCTAGGTCGCTTAAAATGATATAAGGAAGTTGAATTGTCACACACTCAGATAGATAGGCCTCACGATACTATTAAAATATTCTTGGCCTTACAGTTCCGACTCCACCTTGGTTTATCAGCACCCCAAATAAAGATAAAACCCTATCGTACAACGAATATTGTATGTATGTTGCCACGATGTCACACTGCCATGAATACGTTGAAAGTGTTAATAGGAACTAGGCGAGGCTGAAACTACAGTCACTCAAAATGAGAATACGTTTTTAAAAGTAAGGTTAGGTGAAATTTTATGAGATGTATTCCCCCTATTTCGTTTAAGATGATGAAAGTCTGGTAGTCTCGAAACTCCGCTTCTATACAAAAAATTGTAAGGCCTGATTATATGATTATAAGTCAATTCAATAATCAAATGTGTCCTAGGGTTAATACAGTTCTTTTGATAATCTAAGTATTACCAAGTATGCATAAAATTAACGTATGTATGAAGACCAGGATGGTTGGCCCTTTGTATGGCCTATTCAAATCACGTATAACCATTACATTTGGGGGTTGGTGCGCAAGAGGAAGTCATATACTTGGCATTAGGAAGTAAAGAGCGAGAGAAACGCTAGTGGACATTTCTAATTAGCCATGAGTAGATAAGTTTGATCATAGACGTGGTCCATGAAGTACATGCTTGATCACGATATTTACTCGGTGTACATGTCGCTTAGTGATAAGGGAATCTACAGCGTCAAGTTAGGTTGTCATGCCAATAGAGAATCCAGACTTAAGGGGCTCGAGCCGTAAGGCTGATGTATACGTGCTATCAAATGGTTGATGGAGAGCGTACAACAGCGTCTTGAGTAACACGAATACGGTGGCAGCGATAAAGTGAAATCACTGAAACAGGCAGATAAGGGAAGGATCCTACGGAGCAAGAGGAGGACTCTGATTAGAACCGAGGAGAGAGGATTGAGGATTAAACCGCAGTCTTTGATCAACACTCCTGGCACAGTGGGAGGGATGAGGAAACCAGCGGCGAGTGTGAATAGATTTCAAATAGGTCTATATAACCAAATAAAAAATCGTGATATTGAAGGTGTGATATGAGGATATAGGATAGGTGAATAGCCCAGGCGATAAGGAGGGATACCAAAAGTGTTTACAGACAATTTATCAAAGTATCAACTTCACTTTTCTCTTTGACGAGTTGTAGTATGGTGCTAATAATGACAAGACTCACGTTTGGGAATGTACTAAGTCCACGGGCCGACTCTGGAAATTATCATGCATACTATTGACTCAGGACAAGGTACGTTCCTCTAGGTCTTCCTACCAATATGACCCAGTTGCTAAAACAAGATCAAACAAATTATATTAGTAACGTAGTTGACTGAAATGGCTAAATACACATTTCCAGTTTATAAGTAGGTTTTCAAGACCTGTACAACTGATCTAAGGGCTGCGTTCGCCCTGTTTGCCTAAGGTGATGATTGACTAGTAGTTGCATTTATCCACAATGATATGAGTAGTCCCCACTTGGCCTTGCTTCCAAAATGGTATTTTGATTATGGAAAAGGACTGTGGTTTAAACCTCGTCTAGAAATCACCAGCAACCCAACAGAGACTCGAACCTGGACAGAACAACATATAGTATCCACACGTTAACCCCTATGCTAAACTATCACGAGTGCCTCTTTGCTTCTTCGACAATCCCACAAATAAATATGATATGGGAAAGGCCTAAACCACCTTGAAATTCATATCTGATCTGTGATCCAAGGGCACTTTCGGCAATGTGGCCTAGTTGTTAAAGTGTCGAGATTACACTTCACACTACCAGTTTTCGGATCCTGCTGGGATTGCCCTGAAAAGAAAGGCTGTGTAGAAGCCTTCTCATATTATTGTGGGGAAATTCATCTCCCCGTCCTTCATTACCTTAAACGAAATAGCTTGAATGCAGTTTTTACAACGCAAGTTTGCCTCAATGATAATCAAGCTATAGATTTTATATGAGACGTAAGGTGATGAAGGACTAGTAGTAGAATTTTCCCACAATGATATGAGTAGGCCAGGCCTTTTGCCATATCATATTCTTTGGTGGAATTGTCGATGAAGCAGACGTATATTTGCTATAACAATCGACTACGTTTCGAGACTTCCAGTAACTCAGTAATATGAGATGTATTCAACCTATTTCGTTTAAGGTGATGAAGGACCGGTAGTAGTAATAAGTAACGTAGTCGATTT